GTCTCTATGTCTCTGTCTGTCTGGCGAGCGCACGTGCCCTATAGCAAAACCTCTCCGAAAAAAAAAAAGTTCATTCACAGTCGTGCAACGATTACTGCAGTTAATTTTAGAGCATTTCCATTCCCCCCAAAAAATACACCCCTCTGCAATCCCAGGCAATCTTTTGCCTGGTTTCTGTCTTCCTGTATCTGCCGACTCTGGACGTTTAAAAACAATCTCTCCCATCTCACTATAATTATGTGTCCTTTCACCGACAGGTCTTCCCCCATCTGTCCTATCCTGCCCCTCCTCTGGTAACCACCACTCTACTTTTTTGTCCTGTGAGACCGGATTTTTTGCCCCTAATTTGCCAGAGGGTGTGCACATAGCTAGAGAGACACAGAGAGAGGGAAGGTGAGCAAGCACCCCATGGGGCGTGGTCACACTGCAATCTCTTGTCCTCCATCTCTCCCTCCTTTCGGAATTTGGGGAACACACTCTGCCCAGTGTGTTTTTCAAGCCTCCGGATCTGGGACTTGAACCTCCTGGTTGGCTATGTGGGATCTAGCTGCTTTAACCACCAGGCCAGATCAGTTCTTGAAAACTCCACATAGAACTAAGATCACACGGTATTGGTCTTCCCGTGCCTGGCTTATGTCACTTTGCGGAAGGGTAGCGAAAATGTCATAGCAAATGACAGGACTTGCTTCGTTGTTATGCCTGTATCGAATCCCAGGGTGTATAGGGACCACTGTTCTTGACCCATCATCCACTGAAGGACCCTCGATGTCCTGTCTCGGCACTGGTGCGGTCCGTGCAGAGAACACGGCAGCGTGTGTGCGTCTTTATCTTGCGTTGATTTCCTTTGGACGTCACCCAGCTGTTGGGGTAGCTGAATCATATGGTAGATCTATTTGTAATATTTTCAGACAGCTCCATACTCTTTTCCAGACTGGCTGTACTAATTTATGTGCCCCTGAAACGTGTGCAAGGCTTCCCTTTCCTCCATGTCCTTGCCAGCACGTCCTTTTTTTTGGAGAGGTTTTCGCTATCGGGCGCGTGCGCTTGCCAGACAGACAGAGAGAGACAGAGACACAGAAAGCGAGAAATCACCCCCCAGGGGGGATGGCCACGCCGCAATCCCTTCTCCTCCATTCTCCTCTCGGGATCTTGGGCATGCACGCACATGCGCCTGGCGTGAGTTTAAGCCACCAGGTCTGGGACTCGAACCGTGGTCAACTACATGGGAGTCCAGCGACATAGCCTTTACGCCAACTGCTGGTCCCCACATGTCCTTTCTGTCGTGTTGACAGTAGCCATTCCCACAGGTGTGAGGTGATAACACTGTGGTTTGGACGTGCATTTCCCTGATGGTTAGTGATGCGGAGGAGTTTTCCATGAACCTGTGGGCCATTCTTATGTCCTTTCCAGAGGAGTGACTATTCAGGGGTTTTTTTTGCCCATTTTCCAAATAGGGTTATTTGTTTTCTTGCTATTGAGTTCCGTGAATTACTTGTACATTTTGGGTATTAACCCCTTGTTAGAGGTATAGTTTGCAAAATTTATTCCCTTTATGTACGTAACCTTTTTTGATTTTGTTTTATAAATGAAGGCTTTCCGTATGACCAAGGTTTAAGTTATTATTCATGATCGAGCATGCATGTGTGCACACTGGGAAGGGACAGCCCCCTCAGGGCTCAGCCACGCTGCCGTGCCCTTCCTTCAGGCCCCCAGCCTGCAGGGTCCTGGCACGTGTGACTTTTCCGACCAGCAGAGTCACCTGAAGTGTGCATGGGATAACTCGAGCCACGGAGATCTGAGTCAGGGGCAGAGGGAGAGACCGTACCAGGATGTGCCCCCTAAACCTCTCATCCTCCGTACTTAGGAGGGCAAAGGAGGAAGGAGAGTTACTTTTTAGAGAAAGTTGTTTTATAGAGAATCTGAAACATAAGGGGCTTTCCTGGAGCAGGTGGGTACTCGTATCAATTAAGGGGTCGTGGCTAAATGACGCCGAGGCTGGCCAGAATACCTTGGAATTTGGGAGACACTTTTGTCAGATCACACCCCCATCTCATGGCCTCCTGTGGTTGGCACGCCGGAAGGCCACATTCCCCGAGCATGCATTTACTCATTCACTCCGAGTTTGTAGACCCACGGTGTTCTAGAAGCACGAGATTTCTGTGGCTCGCTAGTAGGCATGCACACATGCGCCAGCCATGTTTTCAGGCTGACCGGGTTAGGACTCGAACTGTGGTCCACACATGGCTCCAAGTTCTGCAGCCTGGCTTGGTGCCAGTGGTGCCGCCGAGGTGGGACTCCATTCTGCGTTTTGCCCCTTTTTTTCTGTGGGGTGTTTCCCTGGCTGTCCAGAACCCTTTTTATTCAATGGACTCCTAGTTTTCAGTTTTTGCTTTTGTTTCCTGTGCTTCTGAAGTCTGGTCCCCAAATCCCTTGCCCTTCTCCTGTCATAAAGCTTCATCTAGTGAGAGCACTTCCATCGTGTCAGATTTCAGGTCTGTCTTTAACCCACTACAAGTTCATCATTATCTTTAACGAGAGAGAGAGGTCCCTCTGTCATTCCTGTCCATATGGGTTTCCGGTTTCCCAACACCATTTATTAGAAGGACTCTTCTTTTCCCGGTGCATGTTCTGAGCACCTTTGTCAGATACTGGTGGGCTGTAAATCTGTGGGTTGTCATTTGCCTTTTTTCTCTAACATTGCATCCTCAGAGCAGCCTTCTCACCGGCTGATGAAAGTACTGACCCCTTACTATACTGACCCTCCCCGCACTTACATGACCTGAAATCGTGCTCTGTTTCCCCCGTGGCTCCATTCTCACCTGTGCACAGATTACACATTCCAGGGACCAGCAGTTAGCATAATGGCTATGTCGCTGGACTCCCATGTAGTCGACTGCGGTTCGAGTCCCGGTCCCGGTTGCTTAAACTCATGCTGAGTCCGTGTGTGCGTGTGTGCCCAAGATCCCGAGAGGAGAATGGAGGAGAAGGGATTGTGGTGTGGCCATTTCCCCTGGGGGGGGGGGTGATTTCTCACTTTCTATCTCTCTGTCTCTCTCTGTCTTTCTGGCGAGTGCACGCACCCTGTAGCAAAAATCCTCTCCAAAAGAAGAGAAAAAAAAAAAAAAAGATTACAAAATCCAAAGAATGAGAACTCCTCTTGTTTTATTGGTGGTTGTTTCCCTTGGGCCTATGCTAGTGTGCAACCCACAGCAGGAACTTGGTGCAGAATCACTGGCGTAATAGATATTTGAAAATAGTTATTCTTAGCTGGCTCTTCCATCTTTGATTTTTTAGATTTTCTTTATTTTTGTTCATTGTGGGTGGGTTTAGAAAGAGACATGGGGGGAACCAGCAGTTAGCGTAATGGCTATGTCGCTGGACTCCCACGTAGTCGACCACGGTTCGCATCCCAGACCCAGTGGCTTAAAACTCACGCCGGGCGCGTGTGCGTACGTGCCCAAGATCCTGAGAGGAGAACGGAGGAGAAGGGATTGCCGTGTGGCCATCCCCCCTGGGGGGTGATTTCTCACTTTCTGTCTCTCTGTCTCTCTCTGTCTGGCTGGCGAGCACACACGCCCTATAGTGAAAACCTCTCCAACAAAAAAGAACAGCTTATAAGCACTATACTTTAATTTCGCTAGTTGCTTTACTCATTTCTCTTCATCCCAAAGGTATATATCCTAAAGACAGGAAGTTATCCTTGCTTTTAATTTTTTGCATTCCCTTTCCTCGTATTATCATTTTCACATGATTTCGATCTTGACCCTGAAAATATTTTGCTCAAAAATCTTTTGTACTCAAGGAATCATGATCAGCCTTGTTTTCAGTCCTCAGGATATGATTGGTTAGCTTCTTATTTTCTTATTCATATTCTCCCCTTTTTTGTTTTGTTTTGTTTTTGCTATATGGCTTGTACCCTTGAGTGAGAGAGAGAGAGAGAGAAGGAGAGAGAGAGGAGGAAAGTGAGAAATCACCACCCAAGGGGGATGGCCACTTGGCAGTCCTTTCTCCTCCATTCTCCTCTTGGGATTTTGGGCACATGCAAATGCTCACAGTGTGATTTTTCTCTTTTCTTTTTTTTGAGAGATTTTTGGTATAGGATGTGTGTACTCATCTGAGAGACAGCGAGAGACAGAAAATGAGAAATCACCTTCCAGGAGAGATGACCATGCCACGATCCCTCCTCCTCCATTCCCCTCTTGGGATTTCGGGCACACATGCACATGCATCCAGCGTAAATTTCAATCTGCCGGGTCCAGGACTCCAACCATGGTCGACCATGTGGGAGTCCAATGACTTCACCACCACACCCCCTCCTGGTCCCTATTTTTCCCTTTGTAAAGTGAAGCTCAACCACCTTAACAGGCCTCTGTCCTCAGAGAGACGTAGGTTCTGGATGTAGAATTTGTCTTAGCAAATAACCTGCAAAGATAGACACTGAACTAAGAGCCAGGGTATTTGATAACCAACCCTACCTGCCTTCTAACACCTGTCTGCTATTCTAGAAAGTTCTTTCTCTGCCATAGTCCGGCTCCTGTCTGTGTCCTCTCCCTTGAAGCACCTCCCAGCCTCTTCCCCGTTCTTCTCCCCCAGCATTTCAAATTCTTTTTTTTTTAAAGGAATTCTTTTATTGAACTTTATTTACATTTGACTAGAGAGGGACAGAGTGAGAAAAAGAAAGAGAGGGAAAGTGAGAAAGCAAACCGCCAGGTCTGGGACTTGAACCATGGTCAGCCACGTGGGAGTCAAGTGCCCTTAACCACCACGCCACCTGCTGGCCCGCATTTCAAATTCTAAAACTTCACCTATTGTGGGCAACCTTGATGTTGGCAAAGCGCGTCACTTACACGCAGGAGGGCTGCTGGGTGACTGAGATTGACTGCATGCTTTCGATTCTCTGCTGTTCCCATCCAGCCATGTATCTGGAGCCCTGCATAAAGGCGATTTGTATGATCCATCTTGCTTTATGCCTTCCTTGACGTTCTGCCTTTCTCTGACAGGTTGCTGAATGCTATAAAACCAGGACTTGTTAAAAAGATCAATAGATTGCCTACCCCCATTGCAGGATTGGTGAGTATCCAGAATTGAGATTTATTTTCCAATCTGCCTTTGCTCAAACCCAAGGGTCATGACAGTACCATTTATTACCGCGCTCTGCAGCACACATAAATTGCTTGAATGAGAGCGCGCCGAATCCATTAAACCAAGAGGTCACTTAGACATGAAAGATGGCAGCGATGCCTCCGTGGCATCTTAATCTTTGTTTGTGTTTTCCCCATGAGTGCTCAGGACCTTCTTTCCTAAAGAGGTAAATGTGTTTGGAGGTGAGAGGTTGATCATTAGGTTGACCCCAGGGGAGGGATGTGATTTTAATTTTACACTATTCTTTCAATTCTGCATTCGTTTGGAGTGGAGGGTAAAGGAGAGACCTGATGAGACAAAGCAGCATTTTCCTAAGAAACAGCTGTTTTCAGTATTCGAAATCTCCTTATGTTTAAATACCACACCTGTAGACCAACTAGTCTATGGGAATAATGAGGCTCTAAGGTGATCTCATGGTGTCCGGAGACTTGTTTAAGCAAAGCCCTGGTGCTTTGGAACCTCCTCGTGTAAAATCTGTGGAGCTCACGTGTTCACATGCAGTCAGAGCAGAATATTTTCCGTGCACTGATAGGGTTCACTGCGCTTGGCCACTAACATGAGTTGTTTTATTAACTTGCCTCTCACATAGGAAAGGGAAAAAGCAGGAGATCAAGAAGACACCAGATGTTGGTTCTGGAAGGAACGAGGCCCATGTGCACACATCCAGGGATGCATGGGTGCGCACACACACACATACACACACACATACACACACACTGAACACGCAGTGGAGGGTGTACACGGCCTAGTAATATCTCAGTGTTCCTCTTGTGGTCACCTTCTGGACATGGGCTTTAGAGAAAGCAATGAGAAAAATGCTCAGAATTCAGACAGGATCCTTACTGAGTGTCACTAAAGTTTCTTAATCATATTACAGTGACTAATGGAAGTTTGATATAACAAAAAACCCACAATTATTTATGCACTAGGGCGGGAGGGGGAGCTGATACGATAATGTGTAACAGCACGTTGAAAGGGGGGGGGGAGGCTATTCTTATTTTAAACCTTGCTATTTCTGTAGATACATTTTATTTCCCATATTGGTTGTTAGTGAATCAGGGACTAGTCATTAAGAATTCTCCTGGAGACAGTAGATGGTGTAGCAGTTACGTTACTGGACTTTCACATGGCCAACTGCTGTTCAAGTCCCAGACTTGGTAGCTTGAAACTCACACCAGGTACGTGTGCGTGCGTGCCCAAGATCCTGGGAAGAGAATGGAGGAGAAGGGATTGCGGCGTGGTCATCTTCCCTGGGGGGGGGGGTGATTCTCACTTTCCATCTCACTGTCTCTGTCTCTTTCCAGCAAACACACTCACTCTAAGGCAAAAACATCTAAAACAAAAAACCCTCCTAATTTTGTCTGTTTGAATCATGTAGTTTGACGAGTTCGTATATACACAGGTAAATTTAGAAGAAGTGAATCGGAATAATTTTATAAAATATTCAGTCAATATATGGATATTCTGTATCACATATATTTACGTGTTCACCTATTACCTTAATTATTGTTATTATTATTGCAAGGTTTTTGCTACTGAATGCCTGTGCTCACTGGAAAGACAGAGAGACAGAAAGCAAGCAGTCACTCCCCAGGGGGGATGGCCATACCACAATCCCTTCTCCATTCTCCTCTTGGGATTTTGGGCACGCACACACATGTGCATCCACACCTATTACTTTAAAACTTGGACCTATGTATCTTTCAAATGTTACAGGCAGGGGAACCAGCAGTTAGTGTAATGGCTATGTCGCTGGACTCCCACTTAGTCGACCGCGGTTCGTGTCCCGGACCCGGTGGCTTAGAACTCACGCCGGGCGCATGGGTGTGCGTGCCCAAGATCCAGAGAGGAGAATGGAGGAGAAGGGATTGCGGCGTGACCATCCCCCCTGGGGGATGATTTCTCGCATTCTGTCTCTATGTCTCTCTCTGTCTGTCTGGCGAGTGCACATGCCCTATAGCAAAAACCTCTCCAAAAAGAAAAAAGAAAAAAAAAATGTTACAGGCATGATCTTAATGATTCTGATGTTACCTGTTTGGCTCTAAGTCTGTGCCCTCCCCCCCTTGACCTTGGAATCCTGGGAATTAATGTTATAGGAACAAAGCTTGCAGCGTAAAGTCATAGAAGTTTCCAGAGAAATCCACATCTGTAGAAACAAGAGGCTTTGTACTCAGTGGTCAAGGAGAAAGGGGATTTGAATCCTAATTTAAAATAATTTTAGTAGAGTTAAGGGTTTGAAAATGTGCAGTTACCTTTATGTTATTTCTGATTGCAAAACAAACATTGTTCTTTGCATCTTGCCTCTATTTGATGCATGTACACAAGGGCAGGCGCCAGCTCAGTTGCTTCCCCATTCTCCCCCTACCCCCCATTTTTTTTTTAATTTTTAAAATAATTATTTTAACTTTATTTATTTATTTATTTATTTATTTATTTATTTATTAATTCACTTTACACCATCACAACACACAAATGAATTTTCCATCCAAAATACACTGTGCATTGTCTCAATCAAGTACATCCACATATATGTTCTCA